TTTTTCAAGTAAGACTCGCTGTTGCTCTGGTGCCAGCGAATTGGAGCATAGGCTGCACGCTAAGGACGCTTGACGTGCACTAGCCTACCTCCCTGGCGTTCCTCTGGACCACCGCAAGTCAGGGCTACGACACACCAAGCGGCCAGGGCGCCTTACGGGTGGTGCGAGTAGGCAAATCGGCGTTGTTGTGTCGTTGTCCCTGGCACACGGTGGAGATCCCTTCTTTGTTTGCGAGTGTGTGAGAGTGAGAGAAATGGGGTGAACGGGAAAAATTGGGGGAGTAGCAAAAAGGGGGAGGGGTCAGCCAGTTTGTTCGAGTGCCGGAGGACCCTTCTCGAGTCTTCTCCCCCCTGTCCGCCTGTCACTCACCTGAACTCCGACCGCTCCAGCTCAAATGTCTCCCCCAGGAGCGGGTTGAAAGGCTTGCCCAGGCGCTGCCAGTTGGAACCCAGCGCGCTGACGGCAAAGGCGGCCACGTACTGCGGGGCAAGCAGAACAGCGAATAAGCCGAGAACGGAGCCTCGCGAGAAAGTAGCAGACTGAAAAGGACATTGGGAAAGCCTTCGCAAGGCAGTGTTGCGATGGCAATGGAAGCATCGTAATACAAAGCGGACATTCTCATCATCACCAAGCATCAATTTGTAGTTACAAAGCATTGATTCGCTGGCTTTGTTTTACAGTGCAGAAATAAAAACTAGAAAAAACGGTGAACACCTGCGAAAGTTAGCTTTCCGAGAGAGTCCAAAATTCTGCGTTTAAAGCGGTTAAAAGATTACCAAAAAGTGTAGTGTGTTTTACTGCGTGACTGACACTGACCTGCATCCGCGAGATCGGGTCATCTTGCTCGGAGGCCAGCCGCAGCAGGTGCGCGTACTCCATGTACTCCGTCATGCGCTGCAGGAAGCTGAGCGGCTCGTTGAACCCCACCGGCATGGTGATCTTGCTTAGCTCCTTACCGATGGCATTCTTCAAAATAGACCAGAGATTGCAGTCCCCCGTGGGGACCTGGGGGGCGGGCAGAGACAACCTGTGGGCAAAATCGACGGAGACTTATTATTATTTCACGAAATAAAATCTTACACGCATTACATGTGTTTTATTTTTTGGTATCTCATCCCGATAAAAACATGGTCAGTGTAATAGTGTGTCGAAATCACAACACTTCTTCGATATCCAAAACTGGTTAACTTCATAAGTTGCCACGACTGACTGGTCCAAAACGATTTCAAATTAAGCTAGCAGCATGCTCGATTTTCGACTGCGAAGAAGTGTCCGGATTTCACATTTGCTCCGTCTGTATCAAGCACGAGTAGGAAATCACAAATTATTTTTAACAGTGTAAAGTGCGGGAGGTTGTTAGCTAGTATCAAAGGCGAGTGGAGAGACGTCCCAGACTTAGGGGCTGAGAGTTCGGACCAAAATACAGAGTTCGGAGCCCAACTCCCGCTCCAAACTAGGAAGTCATCTAGTAATCTAGAGGAGAGCTTGGTAAACAGGCGCACTCGTATTTCCTTGTGCATTTTCGGCAACGAAACAAATCTGCTTTTCGCGCGTGTGTTTGCGCCACAATTTGTTTTTTTGAGGCAGCAGGGGCGAACGGATGGATCTTATGCTATGCAGCGTTAAATCGCCAATATGCAGGCGTGATTACGTCTGTTAGTGTAGGGCTGGGTGAGTAGGTGCGAGGCCAGACACGTCTGCATTGCGCCGCATGCAGAATCTAAAAGAGGCAGCCAGGTGTGCAGCGGGGGGTCGGGGGGATGTGGTGTTGTTCCCATCCCAGTACTTTCATATTCAGAGGGGCAGGCCATCGCCGTCGCTACGCCCCTGCAGGGCGCCCATAGGGGGCCGACCACGGTGTACTCTCATGACGAAGGTTGGCAGGGATCTCCCGGATAAATGACAAAGCTATGTGGGGTAGGTATGGGATGGGTGCACGCACATCATGCACACGCACACGCACACGCACACACGGGGCACGGGGGACAGAAGCAATACAGACAGCAGAGGTCTTATGGTAAACAAATGGAAGGAAAAGGGAAGGGGCACAGATTACAGCATATCTACTGTGCAACAGGGACGTCAGGGTGTGGTCGAATGGGGTGGGGTGAGTTGGGCTGGGGCGAGAGAGAGGGCTTTATTTCAAGGAGACGCATCAGAGTATCACGGAGTTCCCATCGTCGACATATTACTTGACACATCGCCCCGGGGCAAAGTTTGAGAAGTGAGAGAGAAGCAGCCGGCCTGCACAAAGTTTTCGATAGAATGGTACAGTTATGAGGGCTGTGCTACAGGACGGGGAGTGGCGGGGCGTAGCGGGGAGCCCCTTGCATTGTCCCCCTAATGAGGACTGGGTAGGGTATACGCCGTGGGCTTGTGTGGTGGTGCCTA